CTGATCATGAGATCCTCTCTCAGTCCATGATCCTGATCTTTGCTGGCTATGAAACCACCAGCAGCTCTCTGACCTTCCTGGCCTACAGCCTGGCAACAAACCCACATGTCATGACCAAGCTGCAGGAAGAGATCGACTTCACCTTCCCCAACGACGTAGGTCATGTTGTAGGTCATGTAGGTCATCCTACTATCCCTCCTGCGTCCACTACCAGCTGACCAACAACAGTGACCTGTCAGTTTATGTTTCCTCCTGGTGAAGTTCACCTGTTTGTGTTTTAACTTTTGCCTGAAGGATTTATTTGCTACATGAAAGTCCATCTGAATTAATGCTGTCTCCAAAGATGACCCGCAGTAACCCTCCTGCTGGAAGGCCCATTGACTATTCAACAGAAACTCAGTATACATACAGTATCTACTCAGTACACCTGTGTGTCTGTGCCACCCTGCAGGCTCCCGTGGAGTACCAGGCCCTGATGCAAATGGAGTATCTGGACTGTGTCATCAACGAGACCCTGAGGTTGTACCCCATCGCCATGCGTCTGGAGCGCGTGGCCAAAGCCTCAGTGGAGATAAACGGCCTCGTGATTCCAAAAGATATGATCATCATTGTCCCCACGTGGCCGCTGCACCGAGACCCTCAGTACTGGCCTGAACCAGAGAAATTCAAACCTGAGAGGTGCAGGAAGAAGGATAGAAACAAACACACGTGTTTAGATTTACTGAAACGGCGAGTCTGTAAAAACCTGTGTGTGTGTGTGTGTGTGTGTGTTTTGTCAGGTTCAACAAGGAAAACAGGGACAACATTGATCCCTACACTTACCTGCCCTTCGGAACGGGACCAAGAAACTGCATCGGAATGCGCTTCGCACTCATGTCAATAAAACTGGCAATGGTGGAGGTTCTGCAGAGGTTCAGCTTTGCTGTGTGTAAGGAGACTGAGGTGAGACATCAGCTCTTCATCATCTTCTTCATCTTCATCTTCTACCCTTTTTCATTCTTCTTCTTCCATTTGATAATTCTTATAAAAAACAAGACGTTTGAACTTTAACATCTGTTTTAGACAAACATATTCAGCCTCTTTGATTTCTTCATGCACATCACTGTGTTTTAATGATGTTTTCAACATGGTTTTTCTGCCCAGATCCCCCTGGAGTTGGACAGCCAGGGTTTATTGGCGCCAAAACGACCAATCAAACTGAAGCTGGTGCCGCGGCTGAAACAATGAAGTCGCGATGAATCAGGAAGTTTGTCCTTGTGGCTAAGGACGTACAGCACTACACAAACATCGTAGTCCATACTACAGTAATGTCAAATGTAGGACAATACTTAATCATACATGGGATGAAATGGTAGAAGTGGGGTTTTAAAGGAAGTAAATGTAATGTAATCATCACAATTATTACTTTTCACTCTGGCTAATTGAACTGACTTTTCTTCTTTTTTAAATTGCATTTATATTTTTCTTTTCTGGTTCAAGTTAAGAAATAATTTAGTTATAATTGTAGGAAAACAAATCCACCAATTCTCCAAGATGTTTACAATACCAATTATAGCGGTGAGATGTGCCTTTGGTTTGTTTTTGTTCATTTGTTTTTCATCCAATTTAATATTGATAGTTTTTCTTCAGATTTGGTTCAGGGCTGTGGTATAATTTTTTTAATTTTTTACACAATTTTACCGTCATTCTTACCTTATTTTCTGTGTATGAAATCAACCAACGTGTGCATTTCTCAGGTATAATTTATATCTTTCTGCTTTTTCATTAAATACTTTCATATTTTAGGGTATTCTGTGTTTAAACTATTCCTTAAAGGTTTAGTTTAGTCAGTGCCATTTTTAAAAAAATATATCATTTGTAATGTGGGTGGGGGGATTTATCATTTAAATATAACCAGTTAAATTAGAACCCCCACCACAAAAGCTAATTTGGTACATAGTAGTTATTTAGTGACTTTTGAATATCAATAATAAGAGGAAAAAAAACATGACACACTATATTATTAAATTAAAAACTCTTAAAATCACCAAAATGTAAAAAAGTAAAATCAGATTAAATGGCCAAAGCTACAGTATCTGTCCTCCGTAAAGTAGGGTGTAGTTTCTTACAGCATACACCAGAGGGCAGTCCCTTTTCGATTTTCTAAAAATACCATTTACTGCTCGTGCGCTCCCGTTCCTTTAGAAATCCATTATCCGAGTTTTCATCCATCTTGTACTTTCCATGTTTATAAACAGTGGGTAGAGATAAAAAAAGGAGAAAAATGTGTTGGGGAGGGGGGTGAGAGAGGAGGGAGGGAGGGAGGGAGTACAATCCTCGGTCTGAAACCGTGTGCTCCGGGATTTCAGATCTACTGCAGTCGAGCTCCAGATAAATGAATACATCGTTAGTGTTTGCCGAGATCTCCGTAGATAATGTACACTGTGTTTGACAGACACGTCTTCAGTGTATATTTACATGTCTTTACGTTTCTGAAATATATTTAAAATCTAAAAAAACAAAACAAAACCTGAATCTAATTCAAATATACTGTAATCGGCCACTCAGTGAAACATTTCAACACAGTAAAACGTCTCCTGGGAAAAAAACAAAACAAAAACATATTTCCTGGTGTGACGACAAAACTGTAGCCTATCACCCGTTGTGTCCAGATGTTGCGTTCAGGAAGCAAATGCAGCTGCGAGGTCACGTGGAGCAACTTTGTTGCTAAGAAGAGATTTATTTTCCCCTTTAAGGGAATTGAACTGACTTTACTTGAAATGCTGTAAATTAAACTATTTTCTGAGGGTAAAAGAGCCAGAGGTGGAATTATGTAGTGAAATTGCGGAATTTATTTCGGTGGTGAAATATTAAAAATGTTGATGATTACAGACGTGTTTGGACGTGTGTTGAGGACAGACATGAATATCATATATAACAGACAGGAGGCAAACATCCACCGACATGTCCATATATATGTATACATTACGTTTATGCTTGATTTACTTTACTGTTTTATTGTGATCTGATACTTTTGTGTTTTCTTGTTGCTGACGAGGGCCCGAGAATTCACTGTCACACACGACTATTTTAAAATCACCGCAGTGCACCTCACGACAGCTGGGCGGCAAAACCGTGGGCCCGTGAACGCGGCACCAGTCCGGTTCCTGCCGGAAATCCGCTTCGCTTCTTGCGTCGTCCCGGACTCCATGTTGTTCCGACAGCCACGGAGCTAACAAGTGCCCCGGCCGAAAACTCACGTTGCAACTCTGTGTGTGTGTGTAAGAAGTTTGTTGTGTGTGTGCGCGTGAGTACTGACCCTCGGATAGAAGATGGCAGACTACCGGGATGACACCGGAGCTCGAGCCCTGCTTGCTCTGCAGTCAGCCCCGTGCAGCCCCGTGCGCGTCGCGGTGACCTCGCACCACTACCACCAGTCCTCGTTCGCCCTCCAGCCTCCGTCGGTGATAGAAGCCCGCACCGACGGGAGTCTTCTACCAGTCCGCCTCGCCACGACTCTGTCAAAGGCCCTTGCTCGACTGGAGGGCCGGGACTTTGAGTATGTCATGCGTCAGAGGACGGTTACCATAGGCCGGAACTCGTCACACGGCTCCGTGGACATCAACATGGGCCACTCGAGCTTCATTTCACGGCGACACCTGCAGGTCATCTACGACGACGATATCGGCTTCTCCCTCCGGTGCTTGGGCAAGAACGGTGTGTTCGTTGACGGTGTTTTCCAACGAAGAGGTGCGCCGCCGCTGCCGCTGCCCAGAGAGTGAGTGAAACCAGCGCGGACTCTGGGAACACTTTCCCTGAACTTCAAGACATGTTCGTGGGTCGCGATTCGAATCGAGGAACCCATTAATGATTTGTTGTTTAGTCTTTTATTTGTCTGTTTAATCACAACAAACACAAAGCGCTGCTGTTTACACTGTTAAATTTGAAAGAAAACTCATTTAGAGCACGTTCCCACGACCAACAATTGCTTAGAAGTTAAAAGTAAATTTAAACAAAGCTCATATTGATTAAAGCAGTCGTTTATTTGTTGTTAGAACCGCAGGCTTTTTACACGTTACATCCCTAGAGGATTTATATTGTACCATTTTATAAATATTTTCCTCCCGTTTGAATGAAAACAGCTAATTATATTAGCATCTGTGTACATTTTCTAATTGTTCTTAACACTAGATACGTTCGTGTCATTACCAGCAACTTATAAATAATTAATGGTTGATTTGTTTGAGGTATTTTTAATCATTGGGTTTTAACACACGACACATAATATTTTTAGAGGTTGGACATTAAGAAGCGACTAAAATCTGTATAAATATCCTTAGATGAAGTGAAACACCGTGTAGTGGCTTCTTGTACATGTAAATGTTTTGAAGATTGTGAAACACACTTCACTTTCTGTCGGTTGTTCCTGGAAACACTTTGTTTACATCCATAGTGAAGTGACGTTACAGTCCCAGTTTGTGCTGCTACTTCACGGTCAAAACCCCGGTGTGTGGCGTTAGCTGCTCGGCACATTCCGTGGCCGTGAGAAAAAGCGATGCCGTTAATTTTATTGCAGCTTTTTTGAGTGTGTTTGAATTTATTATCATCTATTAAAAAGCCACCGTGTAAGAAAACAACGTCAGAAACGCAACAACAACAAAAACTGTAATTGTTTCGAATGTGGATGTTTGTGTTTGGCGTTGTTGAGGAGGCAGGTTAGGGAGTTGTGGCCTGGTCGCTGCTGATTGGCTGTCAGGAGTGTTTAGGGGCGTGTCAGACACTGAGCAGGAAGTGCAGACTGAAACGAAATCCTCGTTGCAGGCGCACATGGAGTAAACACAAGACTCGACTAAAACCGAAGGCCAGAGTCGCCGCCATGTTTACATACATTGGTTTCACTCCGTCTGAATTGTTTTGGCCAAGTTTTGTTGAAGTTAACTTTAAAGCATCAAGGTGTGTTTATTTGTTCTTTGAAAGATAAAAACGTAGTTAAACTTCGACAACTGCTCCTGCACACGGTTGCTGGTGTGAGCAGATACAAACATTTGTCAGTAGTACACGGAGTGAGCAGCCAGTCATGACATTTGTAACAGTTTTATATTCATTCCTCACATGGTCAGTAGTCGTCATACAGTCAGAGGTTTACTGTAGTTCTGTTCATGCTGAATTGTGCATTAATTATGGTGATTGTACATGAATTCCACACATTAAGGTGGGCTAATAATCAGTGTAATATAATGTTACATCGTCTCTTACGTTGTCTAAAATGTTGACCACTCTTTCTTTTTTGTTTTCTCTTCTTGTTTTCCCACAATGGCGTCCACCATCTCCGTCTTTCGCCGCCCCCGTCGCCAGGTGTGTGTTTCGTTTTCCCAGTACCGTCATCAAAATCCAGTTTATGTCACTCCTGGAGGCAGAGGAGCAGAGGGAGCGAGAGCTTCCTTCTCCTCCCCGTCGACCTCTTCTCCCCCAAATTTCCCCTCTTAAAATCAGCATTCCCACCATGCAGCAGCATGAAGAACACATCAGGGCGTTTGATTCCCCCATGCCTTCACCCACTGGCACCCTCAGGTGAGAGGAAACACACAGACACACACACACACCACAGATATTCACACAACCCACAAACTGTAATTATTGTAATTATATTATAATTGTTCCAACCACACTGTGGGTTTGGTGTCTGTTGATGTTCAGTTTGATTTGACACAAATGCACATTAAACACAGACCAACAAAAACACACTCTGTTGATATAGAACATTATTGGTAACTTTAGGATCACAGAACCAGCAGAATTATAAGATGACGTGTGTTCTCATCTCATGTCTCTTGTCTCGTGATCTTCAGACACAGTGAGTTCTGTGTTGAACCAAAGATGAGAAAGGCAGTTCAGAATTAGAAAATTTAAATTAAAGTGTTTTGTTTTTTTACCCCAGACATTTGCCTGTTTGTAGTGAAGTGAATTAAAACAAGTGAAGGGAATAACTGTCGTTGAACGCCAGGTTAGAAACTAAAAAGACTGAACATTGGTTGACACTCGTTCTTATTGGTTGGTGAAAGAGAGGATTTATGTTTATAGTCATATTTACAGCTCTGTCGGCAACAAATTCAGTCGCACTTAAATGTGATGGAATTGAAAAGTTAGCTTATAAATCAGAACAAAATGGAAGTTCATTGATTTGTGCTGATTTGATCAGATGTGAAGAGGAAACAGTTGTTGTTGTTGTTGTTGTTGTAGATGATATAAATAATGATAAAAACAACAGTATATCCATGATTTGATCACGCTACGTGAACTTAGATTAATTTGTTTACAAATCTAATTTAAAAATCTTAAAATTAAAATATATTTTCTTTAGGTTTAAAATTGACATTATGCAACTAATACAGTATGAAATATGACATATTGAGTTTTGTTGGTAAATGATGATGTTTTATTTCTGATCAGTCCTGGTTTAAATGTTGACCAAAGATGAATTGGTAACAGTTACATATATATTATTTATTATTAATATTAAAAAAGGTGAATTTTCTACAGCTCTAATGAACTTTGGTGTTTTGGCCAATGTTTAAACTTCAACATAAAGTGGGTGAAACCAACATCCAGGACTGGATCTGTGGGTCTGTGGAAGTGAAGACACTTTAAAATACTGTGTGTCAGTTTTGGTTCTTATCTTGGTGAAACTGAGTTCACGCTCTAAGTTAATTCCACAGAAACTCTCTGCTCCACTTTTGTGTGTGTGTTTTTTTCAAGCCACTCCTGCAGTTTTTCTTCTGAACAGCTGCAGCAGCACGTGTTAGAAAAATCACTGCATATGGGAGCAGAGAGCGTGGTGGTGGGAATTGCACCCTCTGGTGGTCCAGCCGTGCTCTCCATATTATACAGGCCCACCAATGTCAGCGCGTGTGTGGCTGCCTTATATGGAATGTCTGCAGCTCTGAGGCGTTTGATTGGACGACGGGTGGATTGTTTTGCCTGAGTTTTTCCGTCCATTCGTGGTTTCCTTTTCAGAGACCCCCCCCCCTCACTCCCCCCGCTCCTCATCCTTAGCCTTCCTCATCTGATCTAACACGTGGACACACACACACACACACACACATACATGTGTGTAGTTCTCCAACTCAACCACAGCTCGGTTCAGTTGACAAACCGGAATAATGTTTTGAAAAAACACGCGTGTTGACACTTGAAACATGGAGGGTTTTTTCACGTGGCACAGAGTGGCTCTTCCTGTTTGGCAGCTGTAAAGGAACTATATATAATGACGTCCCTCCTCCTGGGCCAGAACCGCTCCATGTTGGCCGCTGAGAAAGACCCGGTTGTTGGCACGAATCTCTCTGTTCGTGTTCATGTACGACACATTTAAATTCACACACTTGTTCGTATCAAACCAGGGAAGTTAAACACCTTCTGTTTGTTATGTAACGGTGAGCTCACAGAGCTGAGCTGCAGACAGAGAAAGACTGAGTTTCCTGAGCCAAAGAACACAAACTCTCTCTCTCTCTCTCTCTCTCTCCCCCCCCCTCTGTATCTGTGGCTCACTGTTACTAAGGCGAATCAAAGCCGACTGACTCTCCCAGAAACCACTGTTTACTTGACTAACAGAACCAGGTGTGTGTGTGTGTGTGTGTGTGTGTGTGTGTGTGTGTGTGTGTGTGTGGTATAATGACTGACCGCTTCATCTCTCTGTCCTGTTTAATGATCAACAACTTTTCTGTATTTCTCTCATTGTCCTGTGTCCCATGATTGTCGTGTGTGTGTGTGTGTGTTTGAACACACAGATCTAATCATTTTCCATTCTTTGCTTCTGGTTCTTTTTAATTAGAGTGACACTCAGTAAGGAATTGTATCATAAAGATTAAATCCACAGTGCCATTTAGAGACGATTACAGATCCCTGTCTTATTCACACATGTAAACACACACACACACATATATAAACATGTATGTGTGTGTCTAATATCTACGTGACCTTTGTCCGTTGATAACGTACACAGAGACGGTCGCAGCGCCTCGTTACTCTTCACGTCATCAGATCAGATCTTTTTCTCGACAGTGTTTGCGTCCACAGCGTGATGGTTACGTCATGATGTCACAGTCGTACCTGGAGTCTGAGCGGCTGTTCTTGTTCCTGTTGGTACTAAAAACACCACATGACGTTGTCTTTTTCTGCACGCTCTCCACAGCGTTCCAAACTCTTGTCCGGCCAGTCCGCGCGGGGCGGGCTCGTCGGGGTATCGCTATGGCCGTAATGTGACCTCTGACCTCCAGCTGGCTGCCGAATACGCCGCCAAGGCCGTCACCGAGCAGAGAAGAAGCCTTGTGGATCAGAGGGGCGGGGGGAATGAGCAGCGGGGGGACTCAGCGGGGGGAGACAGCCCCAAGGTGAACACGCTGCTGCCTCAGTAATCTGTGTCACAATCACATTATTTTTGTGATCGTTCAAATGAAGGAAGTCCTTGTCTTGGTTCTGTAGGACGACTCCAAGCCGCCGTATTCCTACGCACAGCTGATCGTGCAGGCGATCTCCTCTGCCCCGGACAAACAGCTGACACTAAGTGGCATCTATGCCCACATCACCAAACACTACCCCTACTATCGCACTGCAGACAAAGGCTGGCAGGTGAGCGTTTCCTGTCTCTTTCATCTGGACGTCGTCCATGAAAATCCCAACTTTATTATTAACTTCTTAATGTGCAGAAAAGGTCTCACACTCCAGGTAGAAATGTCACCTTTAAAGACATTTCTATTTGTATACAAATGATTTTTAATGGACTTACAGAGTAAAATGGAAAATATTAAAAAAATCAACTCAATATTTCATAGATGAAACATTTGTTACAGACAGTTAACGACACCTGACTCTCAGTCTGAGGTTTACGATATTATTACACAACATTTCACAGCAGTGGTGCGAACTGTAAACTAATATTTTCTCTTTTCCTCCTTCCAGAATTCAATCCGACACAATCTGTCGCTCAACCGATATTTCCTGAAAGTGGCTCGCTCCCAGGATGAGCCGGGGAAGGGCAGCTTCTGGAGAGTGGATTCTGCCTCTGAGAGCAAACTGGTGGAGCAAGCCTTCAGGAAACGACGGCAAAGGGGTGTGGCTTGCTTCAGGACGCCGTTCGGACCGCTGTCCTCCAGGTCAGTGACAGCACGCTGTCAGATATTCTCCGTCGCTCCGTCGTATCGCTAGGGTAACTCTTCTTCTTCTGTCTGTTTCTGGCTGTCGTTTAACGGACAGAACAAAGTAAGTCTGACTTCAGGGCTCGTGTGTTTGACAGACAGGATGGAGCAGTGAAAATGCTCAGCATGGATTTGGTGTCCATGTGTCTCAGACTGTCCTTTGTTAAATGTCCATTTTCAGGAGTGCCCCCGCCTCCCCGACGCACCAGGGCCTTCTGTCTCCTTCATCCAGTGGACTCCAAACTCCAGAGTGTCTGAGCAGAGAGGGTTCTCCCATCCCTCATGACCACCACGAACAGCTGGCAAAGAAACTGGCATCAGTCCCTGAGTATCGGTACTCTCAGAGCGCCCCAGGTAGGCGGTGTTCCCCGGGGTTCTGTTCTAGAACTTTCTATTCTCTCCACTTTGATCATTTATAAAAAAAAAAGACCTGACGTGTGTGAGTGTTGTTGGAGCCACCTGCTGGTCATTGTTGTAGTAACTTGGCTGATCTTCAGTCAGTGGTGGTTTACCTACACGTCAAAAACATCTTCAGTTGCTCTGACACACTTCACGTCAAAAAACGTCACTTCACATTTCTGCCAATATTTAAATCATGAAAATTAAAGTTCTGTTTTGTAGACCTCCACTCTAAATAGTGATTTTACAATTCCTTTTTTCGTCTTGGTCTGCCTCCCCCCAGGTTCACCAGTCAGTGCTCAGCCTGTCATCATGGCTGCTCCACCTCAACCCACAATCCTGCCCCCGGGGGCAGGAAAAGCCCTGGCTCTGGTCCCCGGGGCCATGGGCCCGGTCCAGCCCATCCACCTCCTCCAGAGCTCCTCTCAGCCTGCTGTCACCATGATGCGGCTGGTCACCAGTGTCTCTCCACTTTCCAATCCTCCAAATGGTTACAGCGCCCCCACTGTTGGAGGAGCAGAAGGCAACAGTGAACCCAGAGGTGTGTGCAGTGTGTTTTTAAAACTCCTCACAATAGGCTGAAAATGTCCTTCCACTGAAGATAAGATGAAGTGAAGACCATAAAAACAACAGATTCCACTAGGAGTGTCCCACAGTAGGGCCACGCTCCAGGTGTTGAACACAAATATAGATGTTAAATGTTAGGATGAGGAGGAGAAACTGACGATGCAGCCATCTGAAATATATGAGCTGAGCTAACATGGCTTTACACCCTCCACTCTGTGTGTTGGTGTTGTTGCCATGGAAACAGGGTCTATAAATGTAGTGGTCTGAATCTTCGACAGCCTTATAGAAAAGAGGAAACGTTTTTAGCAGCTGATATTTAAAACTGTCTCATTATCGTTAGTGCTGGTTTACTAGGACAGCGCCACCTGTGTCCAGTTTTATGGGTGACTTTCTTCACTGTGTTTTTAATTTCATTTTTTTTCTGCTCTAACTTCAGAAGCTCAGCTGATCAGAGAGGGCGTGATCCAGTCTGTGGACAGTGCCGTTCAGGGTGGAGATGGGTGGAGCCTGGCGCCAGCTATACATCAACTTCCTGTTCGCCCTATCACTCAAAATGGCAAGCATGCCACTGCTGTTGTTGCCACGGCGACCAGTCTGGCTAATTCACCTGGTGAGAGCCGCATCTTTCTAATGTTTTTTGCACCAACTTAATAATTAACAAGTCGTTAATTATTCAGACAAAAAACGAACGACGTTTCTGACCACGACCACAGAGACGGTCGACTTTAGACGGTCGTCAGATTAAATGGCACGACATAAGGACCGTCATACTGGATGTTTTCTAACAAGGAGGTCAGAGGTCAAAATATAAACCCCAGCTCCATATTTCACAGGACTGAACAGCGCCCTCCAGATCCTAGCGGCTCAAGCCTCCAGCTCTCCTCCGGTGCTCGTGAGCCGACAGCCAAGTGCAGAATCAGCCGAGCCAGCGGGCGGACCCCAGGCCAAGAGGCCGAAGCTGGACGACGAGGCTGAAACTGAATCTGCTCCACAACAGGTTACATCTGCCCAGCAACCCGTCATCGTGACCTACACGTCACAAAGCCACGACCCCAGGAAGTAAAACCCAGGACCTTCTTACCAGGTACCAACCACAGGACAGCCTCCATTACTGTTTTCACCTTTTAGTACAAATTTGAACGTGACTGCAGCCAACCAAGCCAAAAAACTGTCGCTGAAGGGAATCAAAACGTATGAACTTGTATTTTCGGTCAAGAAGTGACAAAAAAAAACGTTTGAAACTTATTCTGAATTTGAAATCAGGTAAAAATGTTTCAGGGTGTTTTCTATTTCACTCTCTTGTTTTGCTAATTGTCTCTTACCGGCCACAGGGCTAAAAGTTATGCACAATCAAATCATTTCAGCGTCACCTTTGCGCGTGTGGACGGTGGAGATCTCAGACACAGGTTGTCTTGTTGTTGACGGATGAGATTGATTGGTTATTTCCGCTCTTAGCACCAAAGCCCTCTCCTCTCCTGCACCGTCGCGTCACAGGTTCAGAGACGTCGCTGGTCTGTAGTTATAGATGAAGGAACTGAGGGTTTCAGTCAGACTGTGGTCCTCAGGAGGCCGCCCTGGGTGGGTGGGTGTGGGTGTGAACCTCTGCTGTTCAACACAGGAACTGCAGCGTCAGCCGGAGGTGTTTTCCTGCCTCCCGTCGCTGCCCCGTCGTGTCTTCACTGTGACGGTGTTGTTGTGGTGATGCAGCTCATCTCGTTGACATCAGTGTGAGGTGAAACAGCTGATGTGTCTTCAACAGCTTTGTGCTGTAGCAGCAGAGCTGAGTGTTTGGAAGTAAATATTCAGTCTCAGAGAAGTTTCTCTTTAACTCCGGGGACATTTAGAGGTCAGCAGATGTGAATATGGGCAAAAAAAAGCTAAGAAGTGAGAATAAGTGTGAGCTCATCAGTGAACTGTGACATAAATGTGGTCACATCTGATCTGCAGATGGACTTCAGCTCCATGTTAACTTTGGTGACTTCAGGATCATCAGTTAGAGAGAAAGAAAGAACAGATTTAAATCTGTAACCATGAGCTTTTTGTGCCTTGGTGATGTCACGCGTGCGGACGCAGGAGTGAGTGACGGCTGGTTCTGGAGCAGGTAGACGGTTGTGAACACATACGTCTGGTTGTTGGTAGAAAAGTTCAAACTTTGATGGCGAGAGTGGAATTTGACTAAAGTCTATGGCTGTTAATGTTGAGGAGAAAGTGGGTTTAAGTTGCAGTGTTCAGTCCTCAGATTCAGGAGTGCGTGAGTTAATTTGGCACTGAAAAAAAAAACCAGAAAAAACGGCAACTATTTGAAGTGTAGCTAACCTGATGTAGACAAACTGATTGTTGAGATTTACTTGTTTTCTTTTAATAGTGGTAAAAAAACAACAAATGAAACTGTGCACATAGTTTTGTCTGTCACAGCAGAGCATTATTATTATTATTGTAAATCCTTAAAGCCTTAAATATTTTTACTTTTTCGTCGTTTAATTTTAACCTTTAGAAAGCTTTATTATTTTTTTTTTTTTTAGATTAACTCAGCACTTGTTTAAAAGAACACGATCAGTGACACTACTGTGGTGACAGTTTTGTTTCATCAGCAGATTTGTATCAGTTTTATATCAGGCGAAGGGTGGGACCAACACAACACAGATTTCCACAACGTTCTTGTCTCTTTTCTTTCTTTCTTTCTTTTCTGTGAAACAGAAACACATTGTGACGTGTAGCGCTGTTTACCGACCGAGGAAACGTGGAAGAGTTTTGGTCCCAACATGAACTGAGTTTCGTGCTGTTTTAGTTTGTTGTTTTAACCTTTATTTAGTTGAAAAAGATTTAAAATCTCTAAGAATAAACTTAATTTACTGTGAAGTTAAAGCTAAAGTTAAACATCTTAAAGATTAGTGAAAAACTGCAGAATCAAAGTCACCAGATGTTGAACAGAGGTCTGAAAGTCAGAACTTAAAACATTTTTTTCCAATTTTCTTTTTAAGATTTAAATGTCTTTTTACAGTTGACCTGTAGGAGCAGCATTTTTTAAATGTATTGATTTTTCATACAAACAAAGTAGAATTAGGAACTTGTTTTTCATGAAACAGTTTATTGCCTCTTAACCTGCTTAAAATATCATGACATCCAAGTTTGACAGGAAGTCAGCGTCTGTGTTTCAGTCGTACACTGTTAACACAGGCGGCATCGTACCCTCCACCCCTTAGAACCGATTCTACCTTCGCTGCTTCAGTCAGACTCTGTAGTTGCTGTTAAAGAGTTGTAGCTTAGCATTCGTAGCCCAGAGAAACTGATGCGTCGCTTGAGCGTCTTCTCCCTTGACTTCAACTTCCTGTTGGTACCGAACCAAGATCAGACACAAGCTGTCGGTAAAACCAGTTCATGTTGCGTAGCGTTTGTGAGGATATTTTGGTTAAGAAAAAATGATGAGGCAAAAAAGCATCTTTGAGTCCATGTTGGATCAAACGTTTCCTGAGTCGGAACAACAGCGCTACAGGTTGATAATGGCCAGACTGTAGTTTGTTTTTAAACTCTCCACCTTAAAGCCTGCCTACCTCTCTGTGGTCAGTCTCTGCATCTGCTGTCTGACTGAGTCCAAGCCTTCACCTCCTGCTCCTGTCCCGCTCTCCACCCTCTCATCCTCACTCTGCCTTCAGCTTTTCTGAATGTACACACACACACACACACACACACACAAGCTCCCGTGCTTTAGCTGGTGTCAGGCGAAAATAAAGGCGCAGGGGTCCGAGGTGGTCCGAGGGCCGTGGGGGGGCGTGGGGAGGGGGAGTAGAGGGGGGGAGGAGGGGGGGTGATAAAGAACTCTCACGGATTGTTGCTGCGTATTCGGTTGCGCATCAGAGATGCATAATGATTGTATGCTGCTCTATCTGCTAAATGACAAAGCTATTTAGGAAGATGTGTTCTCATTCTGGAATTAAAAAAAAAAGAAATTTGCTATGTGTAAAAACAGTTGTCATCAAAACCTAAAACCATTCGGACAATAGAGAGAAAGTATATGTATTTTTAAATGTTTCTGTTTTTTCTGTGATCTGTTCGATTGTGTAGCACAAATTAAATCCCTCATTGATGTAAACATTTCACAGCAGCTTTTATTTGAACCTGTCAAGTCTTTCGTTTCGGTTCACTGGGTTACAGTTCTCCAAACAGATTTATTAACAAGTGCCATCGTCATTTTTCAACATTAGTACAAATATGACCAAAGGTTGAAATCCAAAATCGAAGGGACACAAACCTGAGGCGTGTCAAAGTAGTTTCTGTCTTTAGAAATAAAAAATAAATCCAACCGACGCTGCCTGCTAGAAAATATACACTTATATATTTTTGAGATGCGTCGGTGTTTGTAAATTTGCAGCTACAGACTCGTCAGACCTGATGGTGAATCGTCCTCATAAATAACTTCAGTCTTTGGGTTTAACTCTGGATCTGTGACTGGTTTCCTTTACCAGTGGTTACAGCGTTGGGAACGTGACGGGAATTATTTAAAGCAACAGAATATCCACGTGTTCAAGTACTGGAGAAATGTTTGTACTACAAATACATAGAACTGAACAGTGACATCAGTGACGGTAACTGATGTCACTAACAGGAAATACTCCTCCCCTTCAGTTCACGCTGTTCCGAGGTTTTAAATTATTTACAACTGTCTTTAAACAAGATACAGTAAAGGTTAAATGAACAAAAGCCTTGGGTAAACACACACCGCCATCGTCACGATGTCCGACTGTAGCTGCAGCTGTGTGTCTCACTGTAGATGCAGCTACAGTTAGACACGGAGCTGCAGCTACAGTCGGACACGGAGTTGCGGCTACGTCTGACTGTAGCTGCGGCTAGGTCTGACTGTAGCTGCGGCTGTGTGTCTGACTGTAGCTGCAGCTCCGTCCGACTGTAGCTGCGGCTCTGACTGTAGCTGCGGCTCTGTCTGACTGTAGCTGCAGCTGTGTGTCTGACTGTAGCTGCAGCTCCGTCCGACTGTAGCTGCGGCTCTGTCTGACTGTAGCTGCGGCTCTGTCTGACTGTAGCTGCGGCTCTGTCTGACTGTAGCTGCAGCTGTGTGTCTGACTGTAGATGCAGCTACAGTCAGACACGGAGCTGCAGCTACAGTCGGACACGGAGCTGCAGCTACAGTCGGACACGGAGTTGCGGCTACGTCTGACTGTAGCTGCGGCTCCGTGTCCGACTGTAGCTGCGGCTCCGTGTCCGACTGTAGCTGCGGCTCAGTGCCGACATCGTTCAGAGGAAGTCCAGAGTGGGCGTGTCCACTGGTTCCGTTTGTTCCGCCCTGATCCACGGGTCGGCCGTGAAGTTCAAACTCCTGCTGTGCTTCTTGAACCGCATCAGACGCAGTCGTGGAGAAGGTCAAAGGTCGTCGGTCACACAGACCCCCCAGGAGTGGAGCGGACGGTGGGACTTACATTCAGATTACAGCTCTCCTGTGGGAGTCCACTGGTCAGCGCACACACACACACACACACACCTGCCTCTACTGCAGTCAGCAGGAGGAGGCGCAGAGCTTCTCTGAAACCTCAGGGTCAGACTTGGCGACCAGGAAACGAAGTCGACCTCCCCCCAAACGGATCAGGTCCACCGCGCTGCAGGGAGGAAGAAGACAGGAGGAAAAAAAGGAAGGACACAGAGTCTGGTTACACGCAGCTCAGCACAGACAGACAACAGACGATGAAGAGGCGTCGCCGTCTGGACTTCCACCAATCAATGGCTTCGATCCATTCACGGCAGTCGGCACCGGTCTGTGGTCTGTGGTCAGTGGTCGGTGCACGTCAACGTTAACACGAGTACAGGCCACATGGGAACACCAGAAACCTCTCCTGTACCTCTGGTAGTCCGCGCCGATCAGACTGGTGCCGTTGACGGCCAGGATTCGGTCCCCGATCCTCAGTCTGCCGTCTGAGGCTGCAGGGCCGTCGGGGATCAGGGTGCGGATGTAAATGCCCGGGGCGTTGAGCGGCGTGTGCTGCGGAGAAGACGGAGAAGAACTGAGGTGAGTGGGACGAGTTACTGTGTTTGTAAAGTCAAAGGTCACAGGTGGGTCGCTGACCCCATGACCTCTGTGGTAGAATGCGGTGGTCAGTAAATGTAACGTGACTCACCAGGCCGTCGATCAGTCCCATCCCCAGTCCGTACGGTCCTTTGTCCAGTTCCACTACAAACACCACACACAAGTCATCAGGAGGGGGGGGGGCTCCGGGGGAGGATACAGGGAAAGGAAACTCACACCCACTAATACACCCTGCAGAGGAGACGCACACCCAGATCCACACACACACAGACGCACACACACACACACAGGGTCGTGCTGTGGGGTTGGACAGTAGAGACAGACGCAGACACTGAGGGACAGACGGTCAACACAGTGAAGACGAACACAGAACTGACCCTGAAGAACTTTGTCTGTTCGACTGACAGTGAAGATATTGAACCGCTTTAGTCAGCGCTACATGTGTGGTGTCCAGTGGCCTCTGCTGGACAATATAAGAATTGTCTGTCAATATATTTATCATGAATATTTATGAACTAATGTGTTGTATTGTTGTGCTGCCTCCAATCATATTTCACCCTCAGGTGTCGCCGGGTTCCTTCAGGAACGACGCCCCTAAAGGCCGTGGTGAGAAGTACAGTTTAAGCCACTGATGTATTCGTTTCAGCTTTAAAATGTCAGTTCAGGTTTTCTACAGTCGCTGCCTGAGTTGTGTGCGCCCTCTGCTGGCCAAACCAGCCGTAGTTGCTGCTCTCTGCTCTCACCCTCTAATCCGTTGGCGGTCGCTCCGTTGGTCTTCTTGGATTCTGTCACCGTTCTGCTGCTGCAGCCGTTGGTCTGAGTGCAGGAGACTTTGATCGGTCCCAGACTTCCTCCTCCCCCTGCTCCTCCACCGTCGGGGTAGAGGGGGGTGTTGGGAGGCGTCAGGAGGCAGGATGAGTCGGGGTTGGTGGTCCGTAGGTGGTGGACAGTACCATTTCTTCTCAGTGTGTGACTTTGACCCAGAGGTCTGTCCCTCCCCCTCTCCTCCCCCGACTCTGCCTTCAGCTCATCCCCTGTCCCCCCAGAGCGGGGGCTGTTGTGGGTGGACGGCAGCAGCTCCCTCTGTGTCAGGACCAGAGCAGAGAGTGAGGTACAGGATGGAGGACTGAGTACTTCATTCAGTGTGTAGTATTTGAATTAGTGTTGAAAACACTTACATTAAGTACTCCATGAAATAAGTACTACATGAAATACTTAATACTTACATTAAGTATTTCATGTGTTTGAAGGTGAAGTAACACGGGATTATGGTCCAGTTTCTACTAATTAGACAACTAATCAGATTAACTCTGGTGTGTGTGTGTGTGTGTGTGTGTGTGTGTGTGTGTGTGTGGAGCAGCTGCTGCTCAGGCTCACGGCCCAGATTAGGCCCAGGTTACCGGGTTTGTTTGACTAGAGTTTGTAGTTTCTGCCTCTGACCTGGATGTCGGGCCAGTCCGCCGTGTTGGTTCCGTTGGACTGCGTGTGGACACTGGACGCGTTGCTGTGCGTCTGGTTCTTGGTCCTCAGGCCCCACAGGAAGTGGCGGATGTAGAGCAGCTGCCTGTAGATGCTGTCCTCCACGCACTCGCTGTCCAGGTCCACTCTGAAGCCAGAGCTGGGCAGCACGATGGGGGGGTGGTTCTCGAAGCTCTCCAGGAGGTCCACTGAGGACAAAGACACAGAAGGTTTGGTTCCAGGTGACCAGCAGGTCCCCCCCCCCCAGGAAGACTCACTACTCCGCCCTCTTGTAAGGTTACATTACCGACA